CATTTTTCTCTTGGCAGATATTTGAACGTTTTCATCAAAAAATAAAAAAATAGGCTGAACGAGGAATAAAAGAGATGGCTTATTTGAGATGTCAGTGTGGCAGGGACAGCAAGTTGCCCCACGACTCGTTCCTCCTCTTTAGCAGAATTTCAGCTGGGCATGTGACCAAGCTGTGATCAATGAAGTGTGAGTGAGTTCTGTGAGGCCTTTGAGGAAGCATCCTCAAACGGAGAGGGCACACCTTCCTACTCTCTCTTCCTCCTCACTCGCTGGAATGCAGTCATGATAGATGGAGCAGGAACAGTCGTTCGGGACCATGAGGTGGAATCCATGTGCTAAGTAAGGATGGCAGGAAAGCAAGATGGGAGACGACCACATGCCTGACCATTTTGTGAAAATGTCATTAGCCTCAGACTGCCCGTCTGTGGGCTTCTTGGCCATGAAGGAGAGTTAAGTTTAAAAGCCAGTATTACTGTGGATTTTCTTGCAGTCGAACATAATCCTGACTGATGTAGTCAGAAAAACACTTCCTACAAAATATTCCCGTTGTAAGTGAAAACTGATACAGGCAAAGCTCACTAAAATTGGACCTGGGAGGTTACGAAGGGAGCCACACCAATGACATCAGTTACAGGAGGAATCGTCGCTTACAGAGCCCAGCAGAGGCACCTTCACCAGGAGAGTACCGTGATTGCGGGCCCAGCGGGAAGGACGGACCCGGCGTCTCCGACGAGAAACCCTCCACCCCAGCGACTCGGCCAGTGAGAAACGGCCCTCACCCTGAACTCTTTCCTGTCAATCTCCGGGTCAGGACAGCCCCTCCCAGCGTCTTCCTCCTAAAATAATCCTCTCTCTTTGTTGGACTTGCCCGTGGTTTTGCCCCAGCTCACAGGTCCCGAATTGCAATTGTCTGGTATTCCCGAATAAACCCATTTTGCTGGTAGAGTAATGGGCTGTTCTATTCTGTCGGTTAATGGGTACGAACGGGGTCCAGGACGGAACACGAGCGCAAGTGCGGGTGGTGACGACAGACCTGCAGGTACTCTCCTCCAAGGCTGTCGGCATGAGGTTGAAAAATAAAAGTGTGTGTGTGTGAAGGGGCGGGGGGAGCCGGAGGCCAGGGAAAGAGGCTCTGGGTCTGAGAACTGACATCCGGGAGGGCGTGCCAAGAGGGCAAGCAGAGCCCAGGGAGCTGGGTAAGAGACGGTGCATCTGAGACAAGAAGAAAGACTGATGTTTAGACGGAAGGGCACGAAGCGCTGGCACACTGGCTTCCGAAGGACAAGCCGGGTCACCTGCTGGAGCCAGAGGAGCTGGGCCGCAGAGAGCCAGGTGCTAGGGAAAGTGAGGGCCTTTCGATTCCTTCCTTAGACGGTCACCATCCTCTCTGGGCCTCAGGCCCCACCAGCAGAGCACCTGCCCGGGCCAGATCAGGTGATGACGACAGGTCTGTCTTTCGACCGGAGATGCACGGAAGCGAACCGCAAGCACCGTCAAAGACAAGCAGGTGCAAGCCATCCTGGACGCTAACATTTCCGTGGTTCATGGCACCCACCCGCCATTTACTGGGCACCTAGCACTTGCTGGCCAGGTACTTCATAGACGTTCTCTTTCTTGACCTTTCTCCAGTTCTTCAGGGTAAACATTTAAAAATCTACTCGAAACTCACACAAGTCACTTGCCCAAGGTTATAGAGCTAGCAAGTGACATTTACTCAGGGCTTTAAATAATAAATGGTGCTACCCCCACTCAGGGACAGAAGCAGAGCAACCCTGTTTGAAAATACTTCTTCGACCGCTCAAAAAAAGAATTCCATTTAACAACTGAATGAGTTACTTGGAAGATGGTGAGTCACTTTAAAGGCACGCGCCAACGTCTCTCCTACGAGCGGGATGACGACATCCTCACATCTCTGCATGGCCCCGTCCCTCCCGGCAAACTGAGGCTCACTCACCCCACCACGACCCAGGCTTATACAGTGTCCTCAGCCCGATGGGGACAGGAGAGGGGCTGGAGGCCGGCTGGCGGCGAGGGGGGACGCACAGGCAGTCCCTGGGCTAAGCTGGGTCTCCCTCACGTGGAGGGAGGCCGAGGGTGACAGGAGACGCGCAGGGTCTGGGGTCCGGCAGCCCCGGGTGGGAGTCACGACCTCGCCGCTGACCACTGGGCTGCCTCGGCCTGTTCCCACACCTGCGAAGGGGCGATCACACCCACGGCAAGAGTCGTTATGAGCATCGGGAGGGACTAAATGTCAGCTGTTGCTACTATGACATCTCAACAACAAACGCCAACACCACAGCGTTCGGACCGTCCCTGCTCCCTCGACCGATTCCAGCTGCAACACACTTCCAGCGGCAGGCCGACTCCTGCACACCCCTTTCTGCCTTTGGCCCGTCTCGCCCTCAGGGCAGAGTCTCTGACCACCCTGAGAGGGGAAGGTGACCCAAACGCCCGACCAAGTGAGGCCGCGTGCCACTTTCTAACACTAGACCTCATCATGATTGCAGAATGACAAGCTCTGCTGTCCTTCTCCCTCTGCAGATCCTAAGCTAATGGTCAGGGACTGTGGCAGGGGTATCACCACATTCCCAATCGTATGGCACCGGCTGGCACTCGAGGAGGCTCTCGAGAAGGGAATCCTGAATAAATGAAACAAAACTGGACTCAGAGAGGTCATCACCTACAGTCTCCGTTCTGGGTCAAGTATTTTTTATTTTTCTTATTTTGGGAGGGGGAGGGGGGGGGCGAATCTCAAGCAGGCACCATGCTCAGTGCAGAGCTCGACCCCACAGCTCTTGGATCATAACCCGAGTCAAAATCAAGAGCTGGAAGCTCTAACGACTGAGCCACCCAGGCGCCCCTGGGTCAAGTATTTTAAAAACAATTGTGGAAGGGCACCCGAGTGGCTCAGTCGGTTGAGCATCTGACTCTTGGTTTTCGGCTCAGGTCATGATCTCGCGGCTCATGAGTCCGAGCCCCACATGGGGCTCTGCGCTGACAGTGCAGGGCCTGCTTTGGATTCTCCGTCTCCCTCTCTCTCTGCGTCTCCCCCACTTGCACTCTCTCTCTTGAAATAAACAACTTAAAAAAAAAAATCGTGGAAATGTTCTTTGTGTCCAGACACTGACAGGTTCATAATCTGGAGGTTTCTCTCTCCCTCTCTCGTTGGTCAGTTTGAAAAATCAGAGAAATTTTTCTTTTCGACATGCCTTTCAGCGGGTACTGGGGTGCTTTAATGATCCCGTAACGAGAAGTTACTTGGGAACGTGACAAAGCTTCACACGCAGAAACTCCATCTCGTCTATTTTGGGCACTCTAACTTGTTTCACACATCTCGTGATAATTCAGTAGAAGGAAACCTGAACAATGTCACCTGCAAAACAACAGCATTTCCAGAAGCCTGGGCAGGAAGAGCAAGGGGCGTGTGAGCCAGCATTCCAACGCTCTGCTGGTGACGTGCGACCCAGGTCACGTCTCATTCTGCACCGCCGACCTCCAAGAGCTCCAGGGGAAAGCGACGGGGAAGATGCGTATGGCTACACTCCAAAATCTGGAAAGTGACACAAGGCCTTACAGGACGGGCCACTCTGGGCCTTTACCCTTAAGTCGCCCTGGCCCACACAGACATGGCAGGACCTAATACGCTCTGGGGAATGCACAGAGCCTGGGCCAGCAGAGGAGACGTGGTGGCATCCAGCCAAGCCTCTCTCTACATGAGCTTCCTGACGTCCCACCGACACGGCGGCCCTACTTATGTGGCCCCAGTCGACACGATTCATTCTAGAGCAAGTCGTAATGCTAAGCAAGGCTTTCTTAGCCTTCCCTCTGTGACTTTTACCATCTGGGCATCCTTACTCGACTCTCCGGAACTTCCGCGGGACGTCAATCCAAGGAGACAGCTTTTAGGAATCTGCTGGGACGGCTGAGTGGTGAAGGAGGTTTTCTTGGACCTAGGTTAAGCACCTCAGCTACAACTTTGAACTGAAGGGTGTGGAAAGGAGGACACAGCTGTTTTTTCCTTCCCCTAAGCCAAGAGACTGGTCTCCAAAGCACACACCTAGCACCACAAAATTAATAAGGAATAGCAACTAAAGTCTGAGTGCTTAGTATGTACTAGGTGTTGTTCTAAGAGCTTTCCATGTATTAATTTAATACTTCCCACAACCCTAGGATATATGGCACTATCATCATACCCATTTCACAGATGAGTTAATTGAGGTGTAGAACCCTAGACCGAATAGATTGCTTAAGCTCACAGACTAGTAAGTGGTGAACTTGGATTCAAACCTAGCCGGGCAGGCCCCAGGCTAGCCCTCTTTCCACTGCTAACATGGCCTCGCGGACCGGCAGGTCTCCACTTTCCCACTGCCCGCGGCACGAATCCCGACCCGAAGGCCCTCAGCCACCTCGTACTTACATCCTGTCTTGCTCCTCACCCGTAGGACCTACTGTGTCAGTTAGAGTTTATCCCGGACCCTCTGTGGCCTCTGCTTCCCACCTCAACTAGGTTTCGTAATTTCCCATCACGCTGTTCCCGACTTCTCTGGCCGGTAAATTCCAGAACGTCAGACCCAGTTTCATTCCTTACTCATCTCAATCCGACTTTTCTACCAAGAATCACAGAAGTTCTCAGAATGTGAAACGGTGGCGGTCGACTTGCTGAGAGCTTTGCGACCCGTCAGTGCAGAGACAACTTCCTCTGCGTTCTGTCTAGCAGGCAGGCACACACAGTCAGAGCTGTACCACAGAGCCTCACTGAGGGCTGACTACGTGCTTGAGCAAGGCTGACTGCTTCTGGCAGCTTTTCCAGTATCGAGACGATCAGGCCAAAGGTTTTAGTGCTCTGAGAGCCATCTGTCCCAGAGAGAACTGAACGGCCATCGGACCGAGCAGCAGCACCAGAGACGCTCGGAGACGTTCGTTCCAACGCGTGAAGCTTGGGAACAAGTTGTTGTGTGACAGACGCCCAGCGGGGAGGCCGCTGGCAGCCCGTGTCCTACCTTCACTCCGTCCAGCACAGCCTTGATGACCCCTTTCACCGTCGTGACCATCTCTTTGTCTTCTGAGTTCACCCCTTCCAGCATCACTTGGTCAGACCAGCGGATGAGGTTGGCGAGACTTTGGTACACCCGGCTGTAGCAGGAGGAGAGGGCTGAGCTGGGGGCAAGAGAAGAGTTTCTTAAAGAAGGTGAACCCTCTGAAGCACGACCGTCACTTGAAGCTACTGTTTGATACAGAACCGGTTTCTTGGAGACAAGGGCTCGCTTCTAACCCTTTCTCTCCGGAAGACCCACACCTCCTTTTCGTGACAAACGTTCCCCTGGATCTATGCCCTTATAAATCCAACACACACCGTATGCAGCTTTACGTTCTAGTCTGTTATAAGACTGTTTTCATTTTCCAAACATAACAGATAAAAATCCCGCCACAGTTTATGTGCTTATTTCCACAGCTGACATGCTTCTTCAAACTTCCCGCCACCCCCCCACCCCCCTTCCGCAGGATCCTGACCTCTCCCTCCCCTCCCCTCCCTCCCTTCCTCCTAGCTGCTAATCATGGGTCAAAAGCACTACACGCTTCTCGTTCTCAGTCAGACTAACACTCATGTCAGATGGGCCACAAGGAGCCAGCGGGTGCGTGGCATCTCAGCAGGCAGGATCCTCTACCGAAACAGCCTCTAAACGTGAGCTTGAATGGTCTGTAGCTCACCAGAATTCCTTGCAACGTGGGCTCAGCTCCACTCCCTGCACCGTAACCATGGCAGACCTGCCAGAGCCCAGCACTCATGAAGAGCGTTTCCAGAACGACAACGGACGAGGGGCAAGGAGGCCTGTGCTGGCGGAGGCGTCGACCGCTCACCGCGAACGGAAGGCCCGGCCACGTCCGGATGCCTCGCTGATTGGGGAGGGGAGGCCCAGATGTACACTCTACATATCTTCCACACATTTTTAAGTAACCGGAGGTACTTTTCTCTAGGAAATATTTTTTTTTCTCTAGGAAATATTTAAATATTATGTACCATAAGAGAGGAAGGGCAAAAATATGGAATTTGTGGAATGCGCCCCTTCTTCCCCTCAAAAAAAAAAAAAAAAAAAGGTTGGGGGAGAAAAAGAATGAGGGAGATATTGAGCAGCCCAAGATAGAATTTGAAGGAAAAGATACAATACTGTAAGACATGATGAAGACAGCTTCTAAAAACAAAGCTGCTTATAACAAAACCCTGAAACAAACAAAGCTCTAGCAAGAAGCTCTTCAGAATCAGGTGACGGGCAAACACTTTCCAGGAGGTCTACAATTTCCATTTAGCCACTCATTCCGCTCTGTGCGTGTTCCAGCAGGAGAAGAGAGCACTCAGAAGGAATGAAAGCAAACTCCAGTCGCCTTAGAAGCCAGAACAATTTACCAAAGGGGCCCCGGGAGAGCCAGGGTTGGGCCGCCTCAGGGAAGAGTATGAGGGAAAGTGCTGGGTGCTGGAAAGAGGGCTGCTGAAGGGGACAAGAACTGGTCTCCCCTGGGGGCTGGGCCATCGGCGGTGCCATCCTGCAGGAGGTGGGGGGACGGCCCTCCTAGCAACTCCGAGCCTCCTCCGCCTCCTCCCGGCAGGGCCGGGTGAGGCCTCTTTCAACCAAGACGGCCACCTTCTGCCAAAGTGCCCGTGGGGGATCCTGCCAAAGCGTCAATCACACTGTTAAACTACTGGCCAGAACTAGATGAAAAGGAGGCAGGCAGACACTTTTACACGATGCTCGATTTCTACCTGCGTTGAATGGTAACGTCCTGAAAGCACCTGAAGAATTCGGCAGTCGTGGCCACGCTTCACAGCGTTAGCTTGGAATACTCCTCTGTGTCAGGGGCTGAGACATTCAGAAAGGAAGGAGGGTCCCGTAACCAGGAGAATGTCCAGTGGCCACACGTCTCCATGCGCCACACACTCCCCAGCGCAGGAGAAGGTTCCTCCGCTCACTGTTCACGCCAAACAGCCGCTGCTTGTTCAAAGGCTGGTCCGCCACTGTCCCAGCACCCTAGGGGACGGAGACGAAGGGCCCACCAGCTGGGACCCAACCCACAGAGATGCTCTGAGCAGAAGGCGGGAAACACCTTCCTAGCTCACAAACTGCACCGGGAGGAATGATGACGGAAGGAACCTAAGAGAAACCTTTGAAGAGGAGATATCAGGGTGGTCGAGGAAAAGATCATCCGTTGGCTTTGCGAGAATCTCAGGAAGAAACATCCCTTAAGTGGTATCAGCCAAAGGACTGCCAGAGAAAAGAAAATCATCGCTCCTTATGGCCACACCCGGGCATTTCTCTTTCCCTCTAGGAAACTGCTATAGACGTGAAATAATTTTTGCCAACTACAAAATAGTTGTAAGATCTCCCCACAGACAGAAAATGCCCCCAAACCACTGTCTTACTGCTTGATCTCAGTGTTTGCGCCTACTCCCACCCTTCCTTCAGGTCCCGCTCGGGGACCTGCGGGAAGTTTAACTGGGCCACGGAGTCTCCTCTAACTCTCCCTCCTTCAAATCCCAACAGAGCTCCGCTCAGTACCACTAGGTTGGAACTCCACCGCGGTAGGGACACTCACACGAAAAGGGGTGGAGGAGAACTCTGCATAAAAAGCCGTCTACACATCTGACCCTAGCGCACTGTTGGGCACATCCCCTCAAAGGAGAACGGTACCGGGCCCTTCTACGAGCTGGGCACGGGGTTAACTACGGGAGGGACATGGTACTCGGTCTCAAGCCCAGCACACAAAGCACTCTGTGCGCGGCGGCCACTCAGCAGGGCATGAAGGGACTCATTTCCCCAGGCTCCTCCTCGGTGACAGGAGCACGGCCTGGAAAGCAAAGACAGTAGCAGGGCAAAGTCATCCCGACAGTTTTGTCCCCCGCCACCAACTGGCCAAAACACCACAGTCTACAGAGGTCAGCTGAAACTCCAGGGTGGAAGGCCCAGGCCAGAGAGCTTCTTGGAAATAAAGACACTTGTTTGCATGATCTCCCAGAAAAAGAAAACTATGCACTTCGTTGCCAAGTTCTGAAAGCAGTTCACAAAAGCTCAATCTCATGGGACTGGACGAACACCAAACCATCTCAAGGAACAGAAAACACAGCTGCGTTTATCCTGCGCAGGTACCAGAAAAGAAACACAGAGCCAGCGGGCACCTCTGCTAGGCCTCAGCTAAGACCACACCGAGTACCCCTTTTCCTCCTCTACCTAACAGTGAAGACCAGAGCAAGCTGCTCCCAGACTCTGACGGGAAAACGCACTCTAGCGGTAAGTGTTCCTCAACCAAAGCTCGCTGGGACGCAGGCTGACTCCTCCCGACATCCCTGGCTTCCAGGGAATCCGGGTGCTGTCTGGGAGATCCTGGTCTGATACAGTTAAAGGTTTCATTAATCCATGCTCGAATGGGATTCTCGATCTCTTTTGGCCTAATCAGCTAGGCAGTTGAGGTCTCTACCAGGCTGGGTATTAATAGGATTTAATGTCGTAATACACCACGGCTAATGGAAGGGTACTAGAAATGTGTCCAAATCAATGTGATTACTGCCAATGACCTAAGGCCAAGAAACCACCACAGACTTACCCTGCGGCTACATCCCGAGCAAGGCTAGAGATCTCCCTCAGGGTCGAGGCCTCATGAGTAACAACGACCTCGACCTTGGGAGAGCATCAAGTCATAGCTGTGAAGGGTGGGGAGAAGGCTCTTTTCACTCCCCACACTCTTCACTCTTCCCAGGAGCCCTAAGTTTGAAGTGCCCCCAAACCAAGACGCCTGTAGGCCTCCCTTGCTCTGACACAGTCAAGGATTTCAGGGCAACTCACCTGTGCTGAATCCGAGGGTCGCTCTGCACCAGGGGTAAGATGGCCTCCAGCACCTTACTGGCTGACCCTGGAAGCATCTCCAGTACCTTCTTGTCAATAGCCATTTTGTCCACAATGGTCTTGAAGTAGCGCAAGGCACTAACGACCTCCTTCTCTTTCTCTTCCAGCCAGCTCAGGTTCTGAAAGGAAATGTTAAGCATAAGGAGGGAGGAGAGAGATTAAAGGGAGCGGTTTCGAAAAAAATAAAGTACGCTTTCCTATCGACTAGCTGGAGACTGATGCAAGCAGAAGAGACTTCTTGCTGCAGAAACCAAGCCAAATTACTTTCTAAGGACTGCAGTCAGAATACAGAGGCTAGGCTAGGAAGCAGAAGGGAGCTCGGACCAAGAACGTTCATTCAGATATTTCTGAATTCCCTTCCTGGTAGAGACTGATGTGGCTGAGGTCTTGAAAACTGCTTCGAGGATCCTTCTCTACCACACTGAGAGAGCACCACTCATTAAGCATCGTGAGGACTAATTTGCTGATGGCTGTAGGAAGCTTAGCGAACCCGCAGTTAGATCTCATGGTGCCTATCCATCCAGTAAACCAAATCAAGAGACCCCAGGCCTTTCAAAGATCTGAGGGACAGCAGAAGATGGTCAGAGGCATTCGTGTTCAAAGCCCACTCTCCCAGGACCCCTCACTAGATTCCCACACTGAGTCCAAAGATGCAGTTCCCTCTCAACGAAATGGCTTGGCTCACCCAAAGGGTCTAGAAACCCCAGGGTTAGAAGGGGTGGATGCTCTGGGATGAAAAGGGGAAGGTGCTGGGGCAGGTAGCAACGGTTCAGTCATCACTCGTGTAGCAAATGCTAACAGCATCCATAGTTCCTCTGCTCCCGAAGAAAGCACAGCTAGGAGGAAAATAAACTCCGGAGCCCTGCACTTAGCAGTATCCAAACTCCCATGCCCAAATCTTTTCTCCTTGACTACAGGATGCCTCAAATTCAGTCAGTGGGCACACACCCCCCCTTTGGTTCCTTTCCCCAACCTCCCTCTATATGGCCTGCAGGTCAGAGGCCCGGGTCCCAGCTGCCTGGCAGGGAAGGGAAATCAAAGATGATCTGCAAGACAGATAAATCCAAAAATGGATACCCTATTCAAGTAGAACTGATTACATGGCCAGCGCAAATTGTGACTGCTGTATATGAGGAAAGCTGTCACCTGTGGGCTCTCTGAGGTCCAGCGAACATACAAATAAAAGCACCCAAGGGCAAGAAGAACATTTCTAGAAAAAAGCTGATTTAAACAATAATCTCTAAGGAGATACACCAATGACATATAATAAGAAGTGATTATGATTCTGGACACTAACTCTTCTCAAATGATGGAGAATGTCATTTTAAATAACATTCAATACTCGAGGCATTTATTCCATGGGAATAGCAAAAGAAAATAGGTAAATGCAATCAAGAAGTAAACAGCTTCTTTAGTCAGACAACGTTCGTTCGAAGACCCGACTCAATTCTTCTCCATGGGAAACTTCCCCAAAGGGGGTCTGCAGACCACAAAGAGCGGATTCTCTAAGGCGGGGAGTGCCTGTCCCCCCTCCCCACCCCACCCCCCATGACTGGAGCCTCATTACCCCCACCTTGCATCTTCTCATGACCTCACATGTTTATTTACTGTTTTTGAGGCCAGGCACTTGTTTCCTGCCTCACAGACAAGAGCTCTCCGCCTTGCATCGGCCGCCAGGGCCACAAGGAACGTGAGTATGAAGGAGTCACACTCAGACATCAGTGTGACTGAAACGCCGGCGGCCAGCGTGGCCAGAGGACCCTGACCACGGCACTGCTATCTCAGCACATCGGGACGTGTTTGGAACCAGGAATGATGAAAGATGGGGAGGAAGCAGGAAACCTTATAAGAAAATCTCATCGGGGGGCGCCTGGGTGGCTCAGTCGGTCAAGCATCTGACCTCGGATCAGGTCACGATCTCACAGTTCATGAGTTTGAGCCCCGAGTCGGGCTCTGTGCTGACGGCTCGGAGCCTGGAGCCTGCTTCAGATTCTGCGTCTCCCTCTCTCTGCCCTTTTTCCCTGCTCACGCTTTCTCTCTCAAAAATAAACACTAAAAAAAAAAAAAATTAAAAAAGAAAGAAAGAAAGGAAATGTCATCAGGTTTGCTAGAGAGAAAGGGGCTGACCTGGAGATGGGAGGCACCCAGAAGGGGCAGGAAGGCACTTTGAAGCAAAAAGAATCTTCCCATCATTTGCAGAGAGATCCAATGAGCCACTGAATAGCCAAGCTGCCCTGGGCTCCTACTGAAGGAGCCGACAGCTTAGCACAGTCTGGTTTCATCCATTAACTCTCCAGCAAACTGCACTCCCAGAATTAATGGCCTCTGAGTGTTGTGCGTTCAAAGCACCTCTGCTCCTGAACAGCTCCGACTTCTTGCAAAATGCAGCCAGCAGTCAGAAGAGTTTACAAGGAGACAACTAGCTGGAGCACTCGCCAGAACTGGGAACCCAGAGCTCTGGCTCTGCTCTGTCGCCCAGCTGCACAAGCTCAGAGAGGCAGGTGCCCCGACCCGGGCACAGCCTCCCTGTTGTGGGGGATGAGGCACCAGCCACTATCCCTCCACAAACCGGGAAGCTACATGAGGGTAGAGGTGCCAGGGGAGGGACTAGGTTCGAAGCCACCACTGGGCTTGGGGGCCAGCGACTTCAGGCTCCTCATCTGAAAAATGGAGAGGATATTACCTGATATCCGCCCCCCCCCACCCCCCAATGTGGGGACGTGAATAAGAATGTGCATAGAAGCAGTGCATAAAACTTAAGGGAAAACCAGATTTTGATCAAGAAAACTTGGGCCAGAGCCCAAAGTCCGTACATTTGGAATAATAAGAGGTTTTGCACACAGTTATGGAGAGGAACAAGTAGGACAGCACGTGAAATCACCTGGGACAGGGCCTAGGCAATGAGACCCTCCGTAAGCCGTAAATGAACCTGAATCTGTGCTGCTATCTACCGGGCGACAAGTTTCCCGTGTGTTTAGACAGGGAATGGCAGGCATAGAAACCAGGATTAAAATGAGAACACGGAGAAAAATATTCTCTAAGAGGGAGGAGAGCTCATGACTAATAAATAACAATGACAGCAAATGACACGCGTGTTTTCGGATTTCTTCGACGGTCTTCTAAGTTCACACATGTTGGCAGGCTCCCCACACCTCCAGTTGTGCCTGTGGGCCTCTACGAGACAACAGGTTTGTGCTCATGTCGTCTCAGGCAGCTGACTTGGGGCAGAGCAGAGTGACTCAACCCTTCTCAAAGGGCGACAACCAAAAACCAGAGTAGCAGTTCTTCCTGGGTAAAGCTCATACTCACAGTTCCTGGCTACAGAATAGGGGGTTCTAAGCAGCAGCACTACTGACGTCTTGGGTGGGTAATTCTCCATCGTGGGCAGGGCCGTCTCATGTAGGATGTTTACGAGCACCCCTGGCTTCTATCCACCAGCCCTAGTAACACCTGCTTCACCTTTCAAGTCGTGACAACTCAAAGTGACTCCAGACGTTGCCAACGTCCACTGGAATCTGCAGGAACCCGTACCAAGCGAAGGACACTTTAGCACCGAATTCCCCCCAGGGACCTCTCTCGGAGGAACGAACAAAGGGGGGAAAGTTCCAAGAACCGAGTGGCTGAACCAGTCTCTTCCCGGCGCCAACTGCTAGAACGCGGTTGTCGGAAGTCACTTCACCCTCGACTGCCTGCTCGAGTGCTACAGGGGCCACCGGCACCGTGCGTGGGCTCCGTTACCGGACTCGGCTCCCAGAGGGGGCCGTACGGAGGGACCCGGAAAATGACTCTGGCACACACTGATCTTCCACTCTATTACTATTCTTCTTCAATCTGGAATTTGACCAATCTGGCAAACACTGAATACTTTATTTCCTCTTCTTCTTCAGCCTCTTTTGCTACCAGATGAGGCGGGAAAAAGGGTTATTCAACAAACGACTTTTGGACTTAAAACCTTAATTGTCTCCACTTCTAGCTAGAATTTTAAGATATCCTGCTGGTCAAAGTACAAACAAAACAAAAATACAGGTACGCTGTAAAATGCAAGAATCGTGGCGTCTGTTTGCCAGTGGCATTGACTTGACGGCTATGACGAAAGCTCTTCCACCTACTTACTACGCTCTTGGGCGGGCCCTGGAGAGAGGCCGCGTTTCTCTACAAGGCTTGTGTTTATTCTACGTTGCGGGGGCTAATTTTGCTTTTCTGTCCAGTTACGTGTGAGCGTTAACACTTACATTCTGGCTTTCGTAACGAGGAATGCGTCGCAAGAGTTTTGACTTGGATGTGAGGCAGCCTGAGTTCAAATCTCAGCCTCACTACCTTTTCCTGTGTGATGGCGAAGGCTTCAGCTTCCTACAGGCCCAGTTTCCTTTTCTGCAAAGTAAGTTTCCATCCTCCAGGGCTGTTAGGAGCGTTAAGTAGGAGTAAGTGTAAAGCAGCCAGCACGTTAGTGCTAAAGCTGGATCAACGTCAGTGGCACAAAAGGTGTCCCTGGCTCTCGCAGTGCTTGGTTCTGAGTGCACTCACCACACTGAGCTTGCTAGATGCCTCACAGAGCACCTGTTACTGTAGACGCCCTTCCCTTCTTAACTGCTCAGATCATCTTAGCAACTCAAGGAAAAAAAGAGCTGGTCTTGAGAGAGAAGACTTACCCACTTCCCCCAGAACCCGTTGCACCCAAGCAGCACACCCAAACCCACCCCAGAAAGGACCCCCAAGGTTTCGTCAAGGAGTGCTGAACTCTCTCCAAAGACCACAGGGACTTGTATAAACTCTTAATTTTACCCAAGGCCCCTTGGACTGTTTCCTGAACGATTAAGCCCACAGTCGCCACCCAATTCAACACAGGGATATTGCAAGAGACTTTTTTTTTTTTTTCCATCCCCAAAACCATGGGCCAGGATTCTGCAGTAGAAGGCAAGGCAAACCCAATTGTTCTTAACGTCACACTGACCTTCTGCCTTTGAGACCTGGAAGCCACAGCACTGGTGGACATAAATTCTACTGCCTGCTGCTCCAGATCCAAGGGGATAGGGTAGCCCTCTGGTAGAAATCTGTCTGTTGCCTCCTGGAAGAGAGGAAACCTGGATTCCTACAGAGCTTGAAATGGCCGTTTCAGGCTGAAGGGAGGGGTTGATGAAAATCTACAGCTGTCTCAACGTATCTGGCTTCACTGGCCCTGCTGAGGTTACTAGTGCTTGAGGACATCCTTGGCTGGGTTTCAAGGATTTGACATGTCTCAGAGCATGGGCCCTAAAGCCAAACGAAGGACGTTCCGGACGTCACAAAGCTCCCTCTATGTGTGTGCGTGCCAGGGCAACGTGGGGCTCTCTGGGGGCAGGCAGGTGGCATCCTGGGGCGTAAACATGATGCACTGAGCTGTTCTGAATGCCCAGAAGATGATACATCTGGGAAAGGAGAACTGCTTCAGCCAACGGAACCTGACTCTGATTAACAGGAGAAACACTCGCCATCCCAAAGGCTCACATTTCGCAAGGACACTCCAGGCCCCTGCCTGGCAGCACGGGAATGCTACGAAATCCGTGCTCTGCAGTGGAAGCTGATCCCCAGGGGGTGAACTTAAACACAGCACAAACTCCGACTGCCCGAAGTAGGCGAAGGCCAGGATAGACACCTAGAGAGAGTCCGCTTACTTTGTTCACAGGCTTCTCCGGGACTTTCACCGACACCTCAGCTGGTTTTCCCTTCTTGGACGGCGTTCGCTTGATTTTGGGCGAGTGGAACTTGTCCTTGAGCTTCATGGTGAAGGAGGAGAGATGGGAGCGCTGAGAGTCTGAAAACAAGGAGGTGCCGATGGTTAGAAGTGGGGTGGGGAGGAGCTGCGCTCCGTGACCGTCTGCAGAAACGAGCATCGTCCCCAAACAGATCGTTTCCCCTGGCTGTTTCAGAGTTACAAAGCAAAGGAAAGATCTGCTGAAACGCTGCTCCTTGCACGTTTTAATTTCTGCAATTTCCGTGTAGTTGGGTTGTTCAGGATTGTGGAAGTCAGAGATGGTCAAATAGCCGTGGGAAAAGAACCCACAAACGCTTTCGGTGTTCTCTACAGAGTTTGTGGGATGAGCTGACCCAAGTCTAAGGGAACCAGCTAGGAAGAAAGACCACCACAGCAGAATCACAGGGGTGCAGGTTGTACGAACTGGAGAGGAAGGCCCTTCTGGATCAACCTTTAGGGAAGGTCACCAGGCAGCACGGGCACGGCCTCAGAGTCAGCATCGGGGACTAAAATCGCACTAAGGTATTCAAAACCCTCTGGAACATAGTGAACGGCTGGATGGTTTCTCTCCAACATCAGGAATGAGACCAGGGTGTCTGTTCTCAACATTCCTATTTGGTGTCATACTCTTCACAAAAGCCATCCAGATTGGAAAGGGAGACATAAAACTATGTCTATTTGTAGCTGATCTTGTATATGGAAAATCCCAAGCAATCTATTAAAAGGCTATTGGTACTAATAAACAAACTCAGCAAAGCCACAGGATACAAGATCGATATGTAAGTGTCTGTTGGATTTCTAAACAGTAGAAATGAACATTCCAAGATGAAATTTTAAAAAGCTTCCATTTACACTACAGGGAACTGATGATGACAGATGCAGAGGGAAGAGGTGGGGAATGGGAAAAGTGGGTGAGAGGCCGTGGGAGATACGGGCTTCCAGCTATGGAATGAATAAGTCATTGGAATGAAAGGTACAACCAGGGAATATAGTCCAGTGACACTGCAAAAGCACTGTATGGTGACAGAGGGGGCCACACTTGTGGTGAGCACAGCAGGACACGTAGAGATGCCAAATCACTACGTTCTACACCTGAAACTAACATAACACTGTATGTCAACGCTACTTCAGTGAAAACAGAACGAAAACAAAAAGCTTCCGTTGGCAATATCCTCAAAAAGAATAAAATACGTAGGCATAAATTTAACACAAGAAGTGCCAGACCTACACTAAAAACTATAGAACGTTGTTGAAGGAAATTGAGACAATCTAAATAAATGAATCAAGAGTTAATATTATTAAAATGTCGATACTCCCCAAATTGATTTACAGATTCAATGTAATCCCTATGAGAATCCCAGCTGGCTTTTTTTTTTTTTTTTTTTTTTTTGCAGAAATTGACAATCTAACCCTAAAGTAAGTATGGAAATAAAAGAAACATGGAATACTCAAACCTATGTGGGAAAAAGAAGAATAAAATTAGAGGACTCATGCTCCGGACCTTAAAATGTTCTATTATGGAGCTGCAGTAATCAGGCAGCGTGGTACTGGTATGAGGACAGAGCAACGGAATGGAACTGGCAGCCCAGAAATAAACCCACGTGTCTTTGGCCAACGGATTCTTAACAAGGGTCTCAAGGCCATTCAGTGGAGGAATGAATGTTCTTTTCAACAAATGGTGCTGGCACAACTGGGTATTTCACATACAAAAGAACAAATCTGGGCCCTTACTTCACCATATACAAAAACTAACTCCAAATGGAGCACAGACCTGAATATAAGAGTTAAAACTAGAAACTTAGAAGAAAACTTAGGGATAAAACTTTTGTGACCTTGGATTTGGTAATGGTTTCTTAGATATAACATCAAAAGTGACAAAAGAAAAATTAGACAAGTTGGATTTCATCAAAATTTAAAACTTTAGACTTACGGTGGCGATCATTTGGCAATACATACAAATATCCAATCATGATGCTGTACGTCCGAAACTAAGATGGTATTTTGTGCTGCAAGTGACACCATCAAGAAAGTGAAAAGACAGACTACAGAATGGAGGAGAGTATGTACAAGTCGCATGCCTGCTAGGGACTTGCACACAGAAAAGGCAAACAACTCCTATAATCCAAAACAAAAGGCAAATAATCCAACTGAAAATGAACCAAGAATTTCAACAGACATCTCTCTAGATGAAATATACAAATGAGCAACAAGCATATGAAATCACCGTCATTAGTCACCAGGGAAATGCCCAAACTGACGTAAGTTACTACTTCTAACCTACCAGGTATAATCAAAAAGACCTATAACAAAGCAAGCGTTGCTGAAGGCTGGGGGACTGGAACCCTCCCACAATGCTGCTGGAAATGCAAAATGGTGCAGCTGCTGTGGAAAATATCCGTCAGTTCCTCACAGGATCAAACACGGTTACCCTACACCCCTGCAATTCCATCCCTAGGCATATACCCGAGAGAAATGAACACATCCATCCACATGATTTGTACACGAAAAGCTCACAGCAGCATCATGCATAATAATCAAAAGGTGGAGAAAACTCAAAGGCCGATGAACGAATAAATAAAGTGTGGCATATCCAAACAACAGAATATTACTTGACAACAGAAGAAATGAAGTTCTGACACCTGCTACGACATGGATGAACCCTGACAGCATTTATGCTAAGTGAAGGAAGCCGGTCCCCAAAGACCGCCGATGGTATCCAGAATAGGCAAACTTTTAGGGACAGAAGGTAGATCAGTGGCTGCCAAGATTGAGGGAAGGGGAGAGGGCACGAGAGGGGTTGCCAATGAGGATGAGGTTTCTTTTGGTGAGGGGACATAAGTGTTCTAAAATTAGAATCTGGTGATGGTTGCACAACCCAGTGAACTACTAAAAAACAAGCCACGCTGCATTCTACACTTTAAATGAGTCCATAGTATACGTGAATTACATGCCAATTAAGCTGTTTTTAAAAAAGCAAAGACGCACCAGGCCTTCCTCCATCTCGCCATCTGCCTCCGTGCTTTCCAGTGTCTGACACGATCTTGTGAAGCGATTTACTGACGTGCTTGTCTCCTCACAAGAATGCCAACTCACTGAGGACCACACCCACCCTTCTCATGCCCGCACCCCCAGTGCTGACATGGTACCTGGCCCAGAGAAGATGCTCAGCCAACATTCAACATTCACTCAACAAGTGAACTGATCAACCCAAAGATACCCCTGCAAAAAGGACTGCTTCTTTCGAGACCAGCTGAAATTCACATTTGAAATTTTCATACTTGAAAGTGGCAGAAAATTGGGGAACAGAACACGATCCTATGCGGTAGAAAAACAAACACCTGTGGTTTTAAAAATAAAAAGCACCCGTCCCCTTTCCATTTTTCCAGCAATGTAGTACTAAAATACCCTTCCAAACGAATGACATAGCACCCTGCACGACAGCCGGTCAGTGTGTCTGTTATTACTTCACGTGACCTTGGGGACAAAGTGTGATTCCTTTGTCAGACCTTCCAGGTGGCAGGCAGGGTCAGATAAACTATCTGCTCCGCACAAGTCTTCTAGAAGCGCACTGCACTCTGGACCAAAGAGATGGTTAAAAGGGTGAGCTCTGTAGTCAGACTGTTTGGGTTAAAACACTTCAAAGTCACCTCTCCAAGTCTGAAGTTTCTTTGTCTGGAAAATGGGGCTGGTAACGTTGTTTTTGGTTTTGGTTTTTTAAGTGTATTTATTTATTTTTGAGAGAGAGAGCGCGCGCGTGCACGCATGCACAGTAGGGGAGGGTCAGGGCGGGAGGGGGGGAGACACAGAATCCGAAGCAGGCTCCAGGTCCTGAGCTGTCAGCACAGAGCCTGCGTGGGGCTCGAACCCACAAACTGTGAGATCATGACCTGAGCCGAAGTTGGACGCTTAACCGACTGAGCCACCCAGGTGCCCCGGTAACACTGTTCTTAGGATGGCTGACGTGATGTAGGATAAATGAGACGCTGCCTGTGGGTAACGCAATGAGGTGCTTATCCAAGTGCCAGGCACATGGTACCTCAATGCAGGGAGCTAGCCAAACTAACTATAGGATTTGGATGGGTAGCAAGGCTGATCAAACTCTGAATTCTTACCTCCCAACTGCTTACAGATCTTTATCAGGCGATTCTGTAGCAGTGAACTTTTAACTCACGACCCTAGGTGACCGTGGGCCTTACAGTCTTCCTCCTCTTCCTTTGCACCGACCCGAAGCCTCAAATGGGCTTTTATCCGTAATCTGTTCTGCTCTGTGGTTTCACGTGTCTCCTCGGCCCTCGTGTCCCTGCAGGCATAGCACTGACCAGGCAGGTTCCCGAGCCAGATGGGATGTTAGAGCAGTGTACTAATCCTTACGACTTCCATCGGAGCAACTAAGACTGAAAGCAGGGCCAGAAAAGCAGACACAAATGAGGAAGTCTAGGCAGGATGCACGGTTTCTTTGGTTTGCTTCCGTGGTCAGAGACCTTCAGAGGCCTGGGATGGGGAACCAACTTCTGCCTGTGCCTGTCTGCCGCCCCGAGTTGCTCTACGGACAAGCCAGATTCACATCTCCGCCATCGTGACGAGGGTGGAACTGGGGTGTGCAAGCAAGGCACGGACGGCTCCCCAGAAGACCTCTCTGGTTTCTGCACTTGCAGAGCCAGCCCTGGTCATGACCCAAGGGCCAACGAAGGGCACCCCCAACCTGAGAGCAAACTGAACGCAGGAAGTATATTACAGCACTCTCTACCTCAGCCTGAAATTCTAGTCTGTCTCGGGGCACGGCTGGGAATCCACGTCAGCATTTAAAGAACGAACTACATTTACCAATAAATCTCTCTCCTGGGAGTATTTCAGAGCCTTGAAACAGCTACCTTTAGCACACACGGTGTTAAATCAAGTGGAGAAAGCAGGTTCTTCCTAATGATAACGAACCTCGTCACCCCTGGAAACAGAAGACAGCACTAACTAGGACAGATTTTCACTCAGAGGCTGCCTGTCATCTTTTCCTTGCAACGCTGGGTCAGCAGCATAGATTTCAGGTGACTTAGATGCAGGTTGCT